AGGAAGATGATTGGGGATAGTAGGCAGCAGCCTTGTCTTCACTTCAAAGGGATAGCTGCGAATCCTAAGTTTTAGGATTGATATTTACACTCTGGTAGATTAAGAGACGAAACAAAGTAAAAGATTACTGTTAAAAATTGGTCTTTTCAGTTGTGACTACTTGTATGTAGTTGCATGAATGCAACTCTGTTCATTACGGAAGACAGCACAAACAAAGACTGAATGTAATCACGATTTAATTCCTCTTATAAAGGAAATATGTAAATTCCTTATCTTTTTAGGATGGGAAGAGGACAGAAAATGTTCTTTATATTTTATTACTTTTTATGCGTTTTATTTTTCTTGTCAATGAATAGTCTGGCTAGAATGCAAAGAAGCATTCAACAGAATTACTGCAGAAAAATTCCACTCCACTGAATACCTAAAATCTTATCAATAAAATGGAAAAGCTAGAAATCTCTAAGGTTACTTAGAAGAAAAGAGTATTAGTGATTGAGAGAATGGAATCAGAAGTATGCGATTCACAAGCAAACCAACATTCATATACACTTGAATCACAAGTCTAAATGAAGAAAAATTCATATTTTATGGTAGAAAAATCTTGAAATACAAGGAAAAATCTTATAATCTTTAAAAAAAATGGTATCTTTGTTCTAGACGTTTTGGTTTCTTTTCTATTCGAGTTTATGAGAACCTGTGACTCTACATATTTTTTTTCAAAGCATAATTGCCGACTGGATTGTAACAATGAACTGTATCAGTAACTTATCTGGTAGAATATGACTAACGAATGCCTAATAAACTCGACCACAAATCAGTAACAATGTAGAACTTCATATCATCGGTCATTTCACGCATAAAATCTCTCTCTCTTTTATGTCACAACAACAAAGGTGGAACTTGGAAAAAGAAATGTGACATCTTAAATTACAAAAAAGAGGGTAACGAATGTCTCCTTTTCATCTTTGTTTATGTCACTCTGTGTGTGTGTGCGTCTGTGTCTGTGTAATCATTATTTCGAGAAACATTTAAACCAGCCGATTATTATCGTTTTCTTCACATCTTTCTATTGACAATGTTCTCCTTCAGTGTGACTGTTTCCTTATTAATATTGTATATTATCAAATTTATCTACATGTTTTCTCGGATGAAAAAAAATTCAAGGAGAAAATTATTTTCTTTATTTTGTTTTTTTTTCCTAGCTGTCTTTTATCTTCGAATTTCTTTTTGTCCTGTTAAACTACCAGTAAAACCTAACTAAAATATAAATAAAATATGAAATTCACTGGATAAATTATTTATAAAAAAATTATATTGATCAAGTATACTGAAGCATAACACAGTCCTATCAATGCTAATAAATCCATACTGTGGTAAAAATTTAGAGAATTTTGCATGGACAGGGAAATCTTATAAATAATTCAAATTAGAATGATTATTTATCACGAATATATATTAATATAAGTGTAAAACTTGAGCACTGTGGTAGAATATAATTCCATATTAGATTTGTTTATTTGATATATAGCGCACAGTGATACAGTATTATTTACTTGATTACGTTTCGAGCATAAATTATTTCTCATAATCATATCAAGTTGTTATTCATCGAAGACTGACATCAGTTGGAGGAACAAAGGAAACCTGGGAGCACTGGACAGCTATTTCGTCCTAGTACGGGACTCCTCAGCAGTGCGCACCCACGACCCCACCAGCGCTATATCGTGAGCTAACAGAAGTTGGAAATATGGAGCATTGGATTCTGACCCAGTGGCTCAATGGTAACGCGCTGGTCGCGGAACCTGAAGGTCGCGGGTTCGATCCCTGCTGGTGGGGTCGTGGGTGCGCACTGCTGAGGAGTCCCATACTAGGACGAAACAGCTGTCCAGTGCTCCCAGGTTTCCTTTGTTCCTCCAACTGATGTCAGTCTTCGATGAATAACAACTTGAAATATTTCCAAATCTCCACAACCCCCTCAAAATATAATCATATCAATTTAATCACACTTCTTTCGATATCCGATTTTATAGTCCTGTCACCTGATCTCTCTTTGTTTTTTGATTGGTAGTAAAGTTTTCCATATCTCTGGTATAGGTGTTGCGTCATTCCTATTCCACATGTGTTGGGTGTGGATTCGATGAACAAAGACTAAGTAATTAATCTCTCTCTCTCTTCACCTAGCTATATTAGACTTAAGTACAGTGGTTTTATCCCATCCTATTGTGTGCTTGTGTGTTATTGAATGTGATGCAATGGCTGAGTGTTTTTCTAGGTTGTTGATCTTATTGGGGTCTGTCGTTCTATGTTTAGCTAAATTCCTATGTTCTGTTAATCTAACTGACACCGACTGGCTAGTTTGACCTATGTATTTGACCTCACAGTCATTACATGGAACTTGGTAGATTATATTATTTTGCTTAATTGGTTCTATCGGATCTTTTAGCCGACAAAGCTTACCTCTAAGTGAGTTTGTTGGTTTAAATGCCACCCTAATCCCAACCTTGTTGAGAATCCTATGTATGGTTTCTGATGTTCCTTCCTAATCTAATATGGAATGAATATATATTATTTTTGTACAAGTGATAGTTAAAATTAGGATGATAGTGAATACATCTCTGAGTTATACTTCACTTTGTTAACTTTAGTTAACTAACTCAGAAACAGCTTTCCCTTTAAAGTGTGAACTGGAAATGGGTATGAGTTCAGTTCAATTCTAGATATAATATCACTAGTCGATGAAAATGATACTAATGTAATGGGTAAAAAGGAAAGGGATTGTATATCACTGAATAATGTTGGGAATTGATTCAACGATTACACTTTATTGGCGTAGAGAAAAGAAAAGTAGTTAAATATAATAATGACAGATAGTGGCTAGGAATGGAAGCAAGGATGCATGTTTCGTTCTATTTTGGACTGGTCAGCTGAATATGTCTCTCTCCTGGTGACCGATGATTTTCCTATTAGGATTGTAACTCAGAAACGATCGCTTCAAATACCATAGCGTTATCCAAGAGCCACTGAGTTATGATGGTCACTGTTTGTGCGACGGATATAGTATTAATGAGGTGTTACTTGCATTATCTCGTTGTTAAATGAACCGGATTTGATCGGCCTTCATCGGTACATGAGCTACTGGGCAGATGCTTCCAGTGGGAACAACAACGCTTACTTTAAGATAGGTACATCCAGCTGATGAGTCCCAAATAAGAGGAAAAGCACGTCCTGGATTCCACTGACGGCCACTATCCATCATTAATATGTAATTGAAACACAGGCAATATTGAGGCATCAAAGCAGGAGCCCATATGTCAATTGAAACTCATAAATTCGGTCCACTCAACAACGGGTTAGTAAAAGGAATTGCTGCATTTATTTCTTTGAATACTCCATATGAAGCTTTTGATATCACTATATGATCTCAAGTTATTAGACGTTTATGAGGATATCAGTTATGTTTTATTTTGACGATTACCACGTGCTCGAACTGTGGGTTTTATACAATCTCTAGAATGTCACTGTTTAGGTATATAACCTATACCTTGATAAACCTTTATGAGTCAACAAGTTAAGTATGAACGGAGGGCCACTTTAAAGGTCATCCTGCTGAGATAAATTAGGCTGCCATATTTAATGAAGAACCAAAACCTGATTGGTTATTTTTGCAGTTGCTAGGGTGACCTTTAAAGTCGCCAGTGGACAGAGGACTGGTTATTTGTACTGTCTTACAAACAGTTCAATTTAATTTATCGCTATTGCCGTCATACAACTGAATAGCGTATCAATTACATAGAGACACATATAGATGACAAATATACAATGCAGCAAATCGGACTATGGAATGAAAAATGATGGATACCTAACTAGGTGTTTTTTTAACAAATAAGGATGAAACATTTATTGACGAGTATTTATCAATTTCGTAAAACTGATTGCAGAATAAGAAATTTTCTATTGAAAAAATATTTTAGGACAGTGTTCACCATGGAGTGACATGAGTTGGAAAGACATTAAAAACCTGCAAACACTGGACAGCCGTTTCATCTTGGCTTAAGAATCCTCAAGAATGTACACCGGTGACCAGGTCGAGATGAGCACATTATCATACAGTTACTGGGTCTGAAACAACTTCATTTATCAGGCTTATGAATGTATGGTATCGGGGCTTTTAATGTCATCATTGGATAACAGACAAAAACCATCTTCTTCACATTTACTTTTTCAAAGACATTCAACATCATAGTTCTCATCATTTTACATTCATGTATTAGCAGATAACTGAAAGAAAACTACATCAGTATGCATCATAAAAATATCAATACTGAAAAGAAGAATCTGACTGAATCATTTCAAGTACTTTTAAAATGTACAATCAAATATGCGGTATGTGTGTGTGTGCATATTCTTGCACTGAAGTTGTTATATCGTTCAGACAGTTAGGAATATTGAAGGAGTAAAGGCATAATGTCTGTAGATATTCACTTTTGAAGGATTTTAGGCTTATATCTCATTCACTTACCTATCAGAATAACAAGGAGGAAAGCTAAAACTATTGATTTTGAAGTTAAATTGAAGATATGTTAAACTGTGTTACTAGCTGGCAAAAATTCAACCTCAAAATGCTGGAATACTTAGTATTCCAGATTTGATAAGTGAAATTCTGACACTGATTGGTTAGTCTACATGATTACTGGTGAAGATTATTACCATATACATGACTTTTCTACCCTTCTGTTCAGAATGGTCATAAATGCGTTCAATTTACCCATGCTTCGACTTCTCACTTCATGGCTGGTATTCAGATACACAGGATTCTAAGGGTTTAGTTTTTTTACAAGCATCTTAGTTCGTTTTAAGTACTTCGCCTTGAATTGTAACAACGTTGGCTTAAAATACAAGTCTATATATATATATATATATATATATATATATATATATATATATACTATGTCATCATCTGCTAGTTTATTGTTGATCTACTCTTCTTCTGTTTAATATAGTTCATGATGAAGAACAATTAAATCCGGTCAGAGTGGAAATCAATAATTTAAAAGCCAGTCTAATTTTCATGGAAACCGATATAAATGCTGATGATGTGGAAGAAGAACTCAACTCGTTGGTGAGTAAAAGTATCTTCTATAATTTAACTTGATAGGATATGCATAAAACTTGATTTAAGAAAGTACTTGTTAAATTCTCAAATTATTTTTAACAATACAGCATTTCATTTCAGTTTGTTTATTAGATGTATTGTAGTGAGTGTTACTGATAAGAATGTATATAAGTAGTAAATGATGAGAGGTCGGCAGAAGTCATAGGCAATTACTAGCGATGGGTAAATATTCTGCACAGAGAAATGCAAGAGACAACGTGAGCTTATGAATAGGAAAAACCAGGTAGAAGAAGAAGAGGAAATGAAACTTATTGTGCAAATGAATATTTCAATGGAAAAGTTACAATATTGCATCAGTCATGTACAAAGTGTCATACTAAACATCCTTCTGCTTTTCGTCCATTGCCGTTTTCTTTCAGTAGCACAAACGGGAACATTTTGCATACAATTCATTATCCCCAATCGTATCAAGGTAATTAAACAACTCTCCCCTTTTCAATGTGAGTAGTACAAGTTCACCTTTTTTCCAGACAGGTGCAGAATCAATCTTACTGGCATATGTTTGGTGTTGATCCAACAAGCAGGAATTCAGTCATTACCCTTCCTCTCTCTCTCTCTATCCAATTAGGTTAAGTTTCAGTGCACATGTAAGTAGTGGTGAACACTTGAGTCAATGGCCGAAAATATTGACTGTTCGATAAGCATCATCGACGAATAAACTGTGTTTATGTTTGTCATAAGAGACAGTCATAAACTCAACGATGAGATAACAATAATTAATTTGATCTTTTTCATATGTGATCTTCAGGGTCAAAGAGACACATAGTTTTAAGATTTCGGAACATACAAGTAAGTTTTGTGTAAACATTCGCTATATTTAACCTACTGAAGTAAATTTACTGACTCTTATCGATCGAAAGTCCAGACGGATACCATTTCATTTCGTCCTGGTTTAGAAGTGCCCACTCGCAAGCACCTAAGGCTTTGCAAAGCACTGATCATATATTTGTGAGGTCTACTGATTAACTTGCTACCATTAAGTCACTTAGTTTTCTAATAGTTAGTCGATTTCATTCTATAGAGTATTGGTTTGCTGTCTGCCAATTGAAGTGGGGACTCTGAAGTTTCGAATTCTCCGTAGGTATAGAGGAACAATGAAGTAGTCAGCTATAAGTATGACAAATCGCATGTCTAATGAATATATTTATTACCTGACATTTCTTTCAAGCACCAGTACTTCACTCAGCATTATGGCTTATAATTTCACCGTTTATCCTGAACATATTCTAAGGCAGATATTTCATTCTGTCTGTCGCACAATGTATACAACCTGCAATGATCTCAATGTACCCAAATTACTTTTCCTAAAAAGTGATCATAAAACATATGTGCAGTTGAAAGGGATTTGCTTCGTTTACTTACTAACCAACCTACGGATTCCGTGACCAAACAAATGAAGAAAAACCAGCTTTCAGCCTAGCGTTTGATTGACTCCACAATAGAATTTACTTCAATCTCTTTCGAATGTAAAGAACATTTCAATAGGCAACGGATGAATTTGTGAAACAGCATTCTCATTGGTGGAACAGTAGGATATCCGAAGAAATTCATCATGAAGCATGGAAAAGAACTTATAGAGAGACCAAAACACCCAACTGTTTAGAAGACTTTTTTCCATCAACTAGCACTCAAAGTTGATGAGAAATCTGAAAGAATAGACAGAAGAATAAAAGCTGCATTGAGAAGAAGCTTTCCTGCTCTCAGACTAATCTCAATTCACAATACAGTATGCTTAATGACACAGTCGAAAATAGGCAACTATACATGTCACGTCACCATCTTTAACCATAATGTTGATTCAAGAAGTACAACTGCTGAATGTATTGGTACACTACACAAATGCATAGGAACAGCAGAGAGGTGGGTCTCCATTCAAATTTTTTAAAACTTCTGCAAGACTTCAAGGTTAAAGAATCTCCAAACATTGAACAGTTTGTCAGCTGATCAGTACTAAAAACAGTATGAACAGCCTGAAATCATTCAATGTGAGTAAGAGAAAAACCAAATCTATATATTTCAGAAGACACATTTCATGCCCTAGTAATTAGTTAACAATAAAATACATGCGAAATTTCATCACACCGTTGTAGTTTGTATATCTTTTTCTGTTTTAAACTTTAATTTTATCTAATCTCTGCTCATCTGACTCTTCTAGCCTTCGTGAACTCAAAACGCTTAGAAGTTATGCAATCTATGGTAATTATTCTCCATTGACCTCTTGGTAATCCTATCAACCACCCTATCAAACGTCAATCTTCCTCCCCACGGTAGTATCCAAACCACCGTCTGTCCTTCATTTTATTCTGTAATCATCATCATCTTCAATATCAACATAGGACCAGGCGTTAATGAGTAACGGTCCAAGTTGCCACAGCTCATATCAGTGCATCAAAAGAGACGTAGTGAGGTGATAGATGAAGAAAGGAGAAGAAAGAAAGGAACAATGACAAAATGATGGGAATCGGTATAGTACGTGTCCCAACCATCTCAGTTGATGAAGGTTCATAACCGTGTCAATTGATTTACCTCTTCTCCCTAAAACTCTATACCCGACATCTGCATTACTCACTTGGCGAATACGGCCTATAATACAAAGGCAACGGTGGTCAAACACCTGAAGCCAGCCTTATCATGTCTTTCACCTTCAATGGCCATGTTTCACACCCATGCAGGAGAACAGACCGGACTGATGTGCATGTGCAGTACACGCGACCATTAGTCGACAATCAGATGTCACGGCGGCGCCACAGGTGGCATGAATTAACAAAAGCCAATTGAGCATTTTGTATCTATTCGGAGATTTCATACGCCACTGAGCCTCCAGGGCAGGGTTGGTCCTACTTCTCAGGTAATTGAAGTGGTCGACACACTCAACCACTTCACTCTCTATTGTTAGTCGAGGCACCGTTGAAGACCAATCGTGAAGCAGCAATTCGCATTCGGGTGGTGAGAAACGCATCCCAAACATTCTCAAATCCCCACTCAAAGTGTCCACAAGACTCTGCATCCTGTCAGCGTCTTCACTTAACAGGACTATTTCATCCGCATATTCTAAGTCTAATGAAAATTCCCCACCGATTAGGTCAACGTCTGTGTAATCAGGCGACTAGAGGGAAACCTCCATAAGAACATCTATGATAAAACTGAATAAGAATGGAGAGAGTGGGTACCCTCTGACGGACACCACTCGATGAGTACAGCTCACCTGACATTTCACCATAGGCTCTAACATGCCCACAAGTGCTGGAGTAGGGAGCCTTCAATAGGGTGATGTACTTACTCGGCTCGCCTTTGAGTGAGAGACATTGCCATAAGACTTCTCGATCAACGGAGTTAAATGCCCTCTTCAGGTCGCGAAATACAGCTAGTGTCAGGCGCCAGTAAGCGTACCTGTGTTCCGAAACCTGGCGCAGTGTGAATACTTGGTCGATACATCTGCGGCCAGGTCTAAAGCCTGTTTGGTTTTCTTGGGCTTGCTGTTCCAGAGCTCCACTAAAGCGTCCGAGAATTATAGAACCTAGGATTTTGGATACTATGTTCGTCAGGTTGATTCCTCTGTGGTTATCACAAGAGGACTCCTCGCCTTTCTTGAAGACTAGGATAATGAGTGACTCAGACCAGTCAGAGGGTATCGTATTCGATTTCCACATACTGGTTAACACTTCCGTTAACCTGACTGAGTGTACTCCAACACCATCCTTGTATACCTCTGCAGTTAGTTCGTCTGGTCCTGGATTATTGTGTAATCCAGAATAGGTAATTCCCTTTGTTCATTTTCTACCCCTTAAGTGAATTGAGTTCCAGGATAAAACAAAGGATAGACAGTGGTTTAGATACTACCGTTTACAGAAAACCGACACATTCATTCTAACTGGTAACTAGACTTCAAATGTCTCATCCAATATCAAGTAGGGTGGATTTAGTCAACTATCTAAATGATAGGGCTAAAAGCTCACTATTCATTATATGGACTTAAACAAGAATTTGAAACATCTAAAAGAGGTGTTAACAATAAGTAATTATCCGCTACCATTTACTAAGAAATTTGTATGGACACATAAAAAACAAAATGATACGAATAATATCGACAACACGAGTAGAAATAAGTTCAAAGCCTCCATTATGTTACCCTATAAGGAAAATTCACGTAGGATCTTCAACAAAGCTGAAATTGGGGTGTCATTTAAACCTACAAATTCACTCAGTGATATAATTTGTCGGCTTAAGGATCCGATAGGACTAATTTAGAAAAATAATCTAATCTATCAAATTCCATGTGATGACTGCAAGTCAGGTCAAGTACATAGGTCAAACTAATCAGCCGACCGGAGACAGCCAGAATAGGCGAACATATAGAATGACAGACCTGAATAAGATCAATAGTCTAGAAGTGAACCTCGGCTATTGCAATGCATACATTTATACACAATCACACAATAGGGTGGGATAAAACCATTATTGAATTTTGAGGGAGTTGTGGGGATTTGGAAATAATTCAAGTTGTTATTCGTCATAGACTGACATAAGTTGAAGGAACAAAGGAAACCTGGGAGCACTGTACAGCTGTTTCGTCCTAGTATAGGATTCCTCGTGACCGGTGGGGCAAAGCCTGATGGTCGTGAGGACAGTTACTCAACAATGACATTGGGTGGCGGTTGGGCTATGTCGTGAGCTTACAGAAGTTGGAAATATGGACCTTTAGATTCTGATCCAGTGGCTCAATGGTAAGGTTCTGGCCGCGGAACCCGAAGGACGCGGGTTTGACCCATGATGGAGTCGTAAGTACGCACTGCTGAGGAGTCTCACTCTAGGACGATACAGCTATCCAGTGCTCCCAGGTTTCCTTTATTCTTCTGACTGATGTCAGTCTACGATGAATAACAACTTAAAATCAATATAATTAGGTGGAGAGTTAGAGAGATTGATTACTTAATCCTTGTTCATAGAATCAAACAACATCCAACACACATGTAATGAGAATGACGCTACATCTATACCACAGATATGGAAAATTTTACTACCATTTATTATTCATATTATTATTATCATCGTTATCATTATTATTATTTGTCCCTTGGGTTACTAATGGAACATATGGCTTCACTAGCATGTCTCCATTACACTCTCTTCTCTGCAAACTTTTGAAACTGGTTCCACCACAGCCCACAACCTTTCATTTCTTCCTCGGACGATCTCCTCCATGTCACAATAGCCTCAGACGGCCAATTCGTAGCTTCCCATCTGAGTTCCACTTGTGTGCCTGGCTCGTGGTGTCCCCAGTCAGCCTTCTCAGTGTATGCGCAGTCCATCTCCACTTCCACTTTCTTCTGCATACTTGTCAATCGATAGGTTCTTGCTTCGTTGGTTCGTTGCCAGTCAGCCAGCCAGTCAGAGTTCCTTGTTGCTTATTCCTTCTGGCCATCTCATCATCATTAATGAGCCAGCGTAGGTAGTTGTTGATGAATGTGTGTAGTTTGTTGAAAATGCCTTTCGTAATGCGCCAAGTCTGTGAACCATCACATGGAAGCACTGAGTTGAAGTTGGTGTTGAAAATCTGGATGTTATTCCACACGCTGAGTGGAGTGCAGAAGATCTCCACACTGGTTTCAGGATAATGAAGGTCGGTCTTGCTGTTTTTTCGATCCTGACTGTCTTTGACGTCCTCGTCTGTGCCGCCTGTTGAAGCAAAAAAATAGAGACGATTGGACTACAAACATTATGCATCGAAAGTGCTGTGTGATCACACATTGATATGATTATGAGCAATAATTTACACTCATCTATTTTTTTTCGTTTTTATTCCTTTAAGGTGTTTTTTTAGCACACTACTTGGACAGATGAAAAATCCATTTTCCTATAGGCATTTAGTAAAATGGATACATATTTCAAATTTAGTCTTTTTTTATAGTGATAATTTTTGTTTCCACAAAGTTATGTCGGTGAATATTTAGAGAGAAAAAATTGTTACTTAAAAGGCAGATGAAATTTATCTCAAAAAATGTTAGAGATAGACACAGTTAAAGAGATTGCTAGAACTTCATTGAACTTCTTGTAACCTAAATAGTTAGTTTCTAGTCTTGGTTACTCATATTTTTTGGTCAATTTGGCAAGTTGGGCTTTTATTGTGTTTGTACTGGGTGATGATTGAAGGTGAAGTGAAAATCTGGACCGCCGCCAGATACGAACCAGCGACCACCGGGTTACCTACCCGATACTCTATCAACGGAGCTACGAGGTCCGACTGCTAACCACAATTTTATTTCACTTCAATCACAAGTGGGGTTTTGCCTGACTACCATGTGAATTCGTGACACGTTACTACTGCTTGATCGTCTTCACACTGACTGCTACCTAGTCAGAACTTCTCATTCCGATCGAAATCTAACTGAATCAGAAAGGGGGAATATCATATTGATTATGATTTGACTATCTAGGATAGCCGTAGTTTTAGTTGGTTGGAGGCAATCGTCAGGAAGCCCTAGACCTAGGCTTCGTACTTTGCGGCACTCGTCAGTTAGGCGTATCTGCAACCTCGACGAAACTCATGTCCCGCCCGTGATTCAAACCCACATCAACCAGAGTTGTAGTCAGCGACTTTATCAATGAGCTATTCGGGCCGCAATTCACCTCCTGTAGGACTGGCTTACATGTATTGATTGGTTGTGGGAATGCAACCAATTTCATGTTGTCCAGTCCTGGGTGCAGACCGAATCCTATCGATCATATTTGAAATGTGGCAACTAAGCTAGGAAGCTCAGCATCGCAGTGCACATTAGTAGATGTTAGTTAGTTGGAGGCAATCGGCAGGAAGCCCTAGACCTAGGTTTCGTGCTTTTTGGCAGGAGGTCAATCGCGACCCGAATAGCTCAGTGATAAAGTCGCTGTCTACAACACTGGGTGATGCGGGTTCGAATCTCAGGCGGGACATCAGTTCCGTTTAGGTTGCAGATACGCCTTGCTGACGAGTGCTAGGTCTAGGGCTTCCTGCCGATTGCCTCCAACTAACTAACATCTACTAATGTGCACTGCGATGCTGAGCTTCCTAGCTTAGTTGCCACATTACAAATATGATCGATAGGATTCGGTCTGCACTCAGGTCTAGACAACATGAAATTGGTTACACTCCAGTGACCAATCAACACATAGCCGTAGTTCGGCTGACTAGTATTTGTACCGGGGGATTCTCAGATTTTCATCTCACCTTCAGTCATCACTCAGTATAAATACTAGTCTATTAAACTACGGCTATCTTAGGTAGTCAAATCATAACCTTTCATTCTGTCATTGGTCATCAAAGTAAATAAACTCAATGCACTCCGAAGAAAAGAATAATGATATTATGGAGCAAAAGATGATGCAGTAAAGTAGGTAGTTTAGAAGAGTTTTAAATTCATAGTAGAAAAAATTTTGAAGATATCTGATACCGCGATTCGCATCCTCGCATTAATCAAAAGTCCGATGGGCTTATGAACTTGTCTTTTGTATCAACAAATTTGTCCAGGTGATATGAATCATTCAATTTGGAGATTTATAGGGATTTGTTTGTTGATTTCAGGTTAGTATTCGTCATAGACTGACATTATTCGGAGTAGCATATGAAATCTGGGAGCACTGGACAGCTGTTTTGTTTCGGTACGCGACACCTCCCGGCAGCACCCAGCCATGATTTCGTCAGAGATTGTACTCAGAACAGTCTGATATGACACCATTCACTTCGAGTCAGTATTTCTGACTGAGTTTTTGAAGCTGAGAGCCATATAAATTCTCATCGTGTACATCTATGCTCAAACTTCTACGTACAACCAGCTGATGAGCCCAAAAAGATTTCATAGTGATATTAACGCTTAATACCCAGTCCACTTACATTCATCCACATATTTTGTGATCACCGTGTGCATAGTTTGAAGAAATCAGTATTGTCTAGAGAATTCTGAAATTGTAAGGATATAACATTGTTGAACGACTGTCTACTACCCAATAGCGTTGAATAGCATAAATCAGTTTTTGTTTAACTACCACTTCGTCTAATTTTCTTTCTTCTCCTTGTTTTATTCAAACAGATCGTAGATACAGCAGATGCATATCTTGTAATTTATGCTGTCGATGATCGTAGTTCATTTCATGCAGCACGAAAGATTATTGGTATACTATTGAGTCAGTGTAAACGATCAAGTGCTATTATACTGGCGGCGAATAAGTCTGATCTAGTCAGAACACGTGTAGTATCTAGTGATGGTAAGTGAAGCTTATTTTAAAATTCCTCCATTTTGTGTAGAAAATTTGAATGGTAATTGACAGGGACATCTATTTGATTAGTTGATGCGTAGTAATAGTTCCATAAAGTTTAACTTTGCTTAGATGATTATTTTCACAGAGTACGTTATTTATATACATCGATTGGTAATTGGAAAGCAATCAATTCCATCTTGTCTAATCCTGAGGCCTGAGCTAATCCTATCGATCATTTTGTAATGTGGCCATCAAGCTAGAAGACACATAAGCACAGTGGATTCTGAAAGAAGTTAGTTAGTTGGAGGTAATCGGTAAGATTTCGTATCATCATTCATCAGCAGTACGTAAACCTACATCTTGGGTGTTGTGATGGTTGACTACAACTGACGCTGGTACCAGATAAACTGCACTACAGCGTGTTATCATTCAGTTGAGCTGACACTTCATGAACATGATCGACAGAACTTCATCATCGTGTAGGACTTGTAGGTTACATTGATTACTTCCATATTAGATTTGTTTATTTGATATAAAGCACACAGTGATACAGTATTATTTACTTGATTACGTTTCGAGCATAAATTATTGCTCATAATCATATCTCAATGTAATCACACTTCTTTCGACATCTGATTTTATAGTCCTGTCACCTGATCTCTCTTTGATTTTTGTTTTTTGATTGGTAGTAAAGTTTTCCATATCTCTGGTATGGATAGGTGTTGCGTCATTCCTATTACATGTGTTGGGTGTAGATTCAATGAACAAAGATTCAGTAATTAATCTCTCTCTCCACCTAGCTATATTAGACTTAAGTACAGTGGTTTTGTCCCATCCTATTGTGTGGTTGTGTGTTAATGAATGTGATGCAATGGCCGAGTGTTTTTCTAGATTATTGATCTTATTGGGGTCTGTCGTTCTATGTTTAGCTAAATTCCTATGTTCTGTTAATCTAACTGACCCCGACCGGCTAGTTTGACCTAGGCAAACATTATTGAGTGATGTGAATTCATTTTGATGTACTCCGAATATCCCAATTAGGCAGTAGATTTAAAATTTGTATACAGCTGTCTGTTAGTATTCAATATCAGTAGTTTTTGCAGTCAAATTGTTGAACCAACATAAAATACATTTTTATTTATTTATGCCTCAATAATTATGAAAACAGAAATTAGTGAGCTATCCATTCCAGATGAGTTTACTATAGATAGATCTTTTCAGCATTCCATTATTACGTCTCTTAATCAGTACATCAAGGAAAAGAGTAGCTGTCAAACCTAGACAATTCTATCCTTAGCCAAACAATTAAGCATTTTGACATCTATAAACAATATATGGATGATATATTCGTTATTTGCGATTTAAATGACACTCTAGGCGAGTTTAACAATTGTCACTTAGCGTTGGAATTCACTATTGAGAAGGAATTGAAATCAGTTATTCCTTTCCTTGACGTAATGTTTACGAGACCTAGCAATGGAATGCTGAATAGATCCATCTACAGGAAAATAGAAATATCAAAGTTCATGACCTGATTAGGCATTTGAAGAACAAGTAGAATTCATTTCTCTTTAGGATAAAACATTAGACAATCAAATCGATCAGTAAGCATTAAGAAAATTCAAGAACACGTATAAGCAAGTAATGTTGTTTTCAATTAGGCCTCATCTAGCTTTAACATTCATAAATTTTCGCGTATCTAAAATATTCAACCAATCCTAGTGGATTTCTCAGTCTGTAGTAGCAAGGAAATGAAGTATGCAAGTAGCAGATTTCCAGATAGTAATGATAGTTACGTAGGACTGACATCAATTGAAGAACTATGCACCTACAACCCTGATAGCAACTGGATTCAAGACCTTCATGTTTCACAATAATCGCATTAATCATTCAGCTTCTGAGTCAGAGATCAGTGGTTCGCAGTCTGCTATATTCATTAGTTAGTGATATAATGTGACTATTCACTAATAGCTTACGCGTTTGACGTGAAAGCTGAAGGTCATGAGTTCGACCCCCGGCAGTTTTACAATGGTCCCCCCCAAGTGATTTCAGTTTGTGATAAATGAAACTTTAAAAATGATAGTAACAATAATTATCTCCATGATAATCAATTCAATGGGAACTGCACAGTACTGCTAACATCTAACCAGTCAATGTGCGTAATACTAAAAAATGAAGTGCGTATATAATCAAAGCCTAAGCATGTAAGATGCATTTATAAAAGGGGTAAAGAAAAGGAAACGGGATGAAAATTGAATTGATTTCTAAGGTAGCTTATTAGGTTTATTATCTCTGTCCAAAGCAGACATAAAGGTTGCAAAAACTTTGTATTAACTTCATTTGTCCATATCCTAGCCAAGACGGAAGGTGTTCTGTGACATGTTTGTTAAACTGATTAGTGGAACACCTGATCCAGCTTTCTTTGCTAGATCACATTAAATTGGATAAATAACATGTAACGTAATGTTACTATATGAGTGTGATAGGAAATCTGATAAAATTGGTGTAGCAACAAAGATGGTTAGTAAAGTGTATGAATTAATGATAGAAAAATGAAAAAGGATATACTAAGAACGACAATTAAAGTTTCAAGAATTGAAGTATACTGAAGATGATGGGAATATACCGGAATAATATTACAAAATGAAATATGGTTTAATAAGATAAAAGAATAATAACTCAAATAGGTAGATAAATTCCTAGAAAAACAACATTTCTTCAGGTTAGTTCAAGGTAAATCATAAACTCCTTTTATACATTTCATTTCAGTCGATTGATTCCATAAAACGAAGTGTTTGATTGAGTTAAAAGTATGACCTGTATTGAAGATGTATCTACTGAATGGTGCTGCTGAGTGCTGTTATACACACAAAGAATATTAGAGAATTCCTAGAAGCTTGACATTCAGGTTAGTCAGTCAACAAGCAATAGATGTATAGATATAGACCCAATCTATCAGTCAATAAGAAATCTGATAAACGACAGAAAGGTGAGAGGTCAAGTAGACGAACAGTCAACAGGAAAGGCTATACAGTCAATGACACAACAATCGAAGGAAACAACCAATCCCAGACCACATCGTCAGAGCAAGCCACTAAATCACTCGTGGAGAGATATTGACAGCTGACTTCAAACTGAAGTTAGTACTGATGATGTCATCCAGGAGAAAGATGATGAAAGCTTCAGGATTAAACAACCTTTCTCAGAGAACACAATACAAACAAGGCTGTTATACCTCTCAAGGACAGGTCTTTCAGTACATATTCACAGATTATTTTACCATGGATTTTTCTTGTTCTTCTGTCACACATCCTACCGCAATTACACGTAAATAAATGGATAAAGAGTAGACATCATGGAGTAATTAGTTAGTGAACTAAATCTACTGCTTTTGAGTAGTAGTCTAATGCATGTGTTCTTTTTTCAGTATAGGCATTCTAGTCGGTTCCTCATTTTTATGGTTAAATCACTTAATAATAAACATTGAAGGATGCCCACTGTCTAACAACCATCTCACTTCATCTTCTCCTTCATACTCAAAGGTTAACGATAGCCAACTAATTTGCAACCAAGCAAATTATTATGATATAATCCTCATTAAAGAAGGACTTACCGTGTAGGAAGCCATTGTTCAAGTTGATCACTGTGAAAAAAAGTATAATTTGTACATTAAGAAAGTCTATTTATACAGTAAATAGAGTCTTTGAACTTCTTACCAGTAATATCTATTTCGTGGGAGAATACGATGATCAGGGTGAGTTGTTTTCTAGGCTACAGTCTTGAAAAACGTGTATTTGAAACTTATAGACTTCAGGATCAAAATTTGACCTAACAGAGTTGAATAAGTTGAGCATTGGATAAGTGAAGTATATTTTTAAACTTTCAATAATGTAGAAAAATGAATTTCTGATGTTTCACAACATCGTAGAATTGGCTTCTTCAGAGAATAAACCCTGTGCAAATTACTATATTTTTAAATAGTATTTAGTGACAGTAGTTCTACCATTCCGCCAAGGTACAACTGAATAGCTACTAAGCTTTTTAAGGAAACACCGAATTATTGGACAGGCAACACTCTCAAAAATGCTTTTATTCACTCAAAAATTAGAATTATTTTGCCCCTAGAAAAAATTATGTCTACAAATTAGTCTGTATCGATTGCTATGCTTATTATACTGGGGAATCATCCGGCGAGATCCTCATTCGTGCTGAAGAAATGAAAGCTGCACAAAATGACCACCAAATAGTCTTATGGAGCTAGAGAATTCGCCAGCTGTTATTCATACCATCTACTATAGTCACAAAACTGATATTAATTGATAATAATTGATAATAAACTTATTGGAAAAAGTTTATGAAACTACAACGAAAGGCAAATAAACGAGGGATGTCACTTTATGTTAAATCCGAATGCACTCAACAGGAAAAAAGGCTTAACTACCCAACCAACTTGGACAGTATATCCGACATAATACGCTACACACATTAATTGTAACAAAAGTACTAATGATGGATAGTGGATAGCGGTGGAATTGAAGACGAGCGCTTAGTCCTGCTAGTAACTCTTCAGCTGGATGTCCCAATAAGGCTCGAACTCAGGAGTGCTCGCCTCAAAATCTATGGCCTTATCCACTAGACCACGGGATCAAAATAGTCAATTCATTTTGCTTATATCACCCATAATAAGTAACAAAATAATAACCGCAGCACATAAGCACAAGTAAACTGAATTGTTCATCCGTGGTATTCCTCTCAAAGCTTCATAGTTTCACCGTGAACTCATGGAACAATAACTGATTACAATGGCATTTATTCCCGTATTATTATCATCACGTATGACCAACGTGGTTCAATTTGTTGCTATTTACCATGTAAAGAAGTGACTCCCACAAGGTTATGAATCGTAAAACATTTATTTATCTATTTCATTGGGATTTTACAAATACATTTCAATTAAATTTTGAGGGGGTTGTGGAGATTTGGAAATATTTCAAGTTGTTATTCAT